CGAAACGGCCCAGAACCCGAGAAATGGGACCCCTTCCTTGCCCGTTGATTTGAGCATTGATGCGACTCTCATCGCTGTGCCCTCTTCAACACTACGCTCTCTCACCTATCTAATCACTCGCCACGTATAGACCTGCGGCGAGTGATCAGATGATCGGTGGGCGTGCACTGACCAGCCGCGCCAAGATTGAGCCTTAATAGGTCGCCGAGGTCAACTCCTTCGTGCAAATTGTGCTTCAGTTCGCACACTTAGGAGCTCCGCGGGTCCCTCAACCAGGTGAATTCTTCCTAATTCGATTTTCCCTCTGATCGTGAATTCGTCCTTTAAGTGCGCGCGAGGGTGCGCAAAGCTAAATTGGTCATAATGATAATCGAACAGCGATCTGCTGAGGGGCGGAGCACAGGCGGAGGCGGAGCTCAGAAAGGATTGGCAGCCCCAGGGCGCTGCAACGAGCGCACCTTTAGTCACAAAAAGGCCACATCTCGATTCCTTTGGGCTCTAGCTACTGCTTGAAGTGCTGCTCGTTCTTCCATGCTGCACAGAAATTTTATCGTAATTTCTCGCTTTAAGGCATGCCCCAGGATCACATTGGTGTGGCTCTTGCACACGAATGCGAATGTATTGGTGCGAAGTGGGCCGGCAGTAAAGAAAAAAGGAAAAGAATCCGTCGAAAACGCTTAGGTTAAGGGCTCACTCACCTTCCTAATCGGCTGTGCTAAGGGAATGAGAGACTAAGCGCGGAGAGGAGAGTATGAGGCGAGAGAGCGCTACAGATGAGAGAGCGCCAGACAACAGCCTGATAAGAGAAAAAAGTCTGCAGCTTGGGCAGCTTACTTTGCAAGGCCCAAGCGCTCTTGTCGGTTGGTTTCCGTGCACGAGAACGCCACATTTGTGATTGTCCTCTAGGGGTCTATACTACAGACCGAAGAGAAGCGTTCACACGACCTCTGCCTGGGTTGTGCCTTTAAGAACTTTTGAATCGGCACAACGCGATGGCTGGCCCTGCCTGTGACACATCTAATGTAAAAATGTTGTGTTCTTATGTCTTGCCCTGTGTGTAGGTTCGAGTGTTCAGCAGACCGAGATCCGTCTTAGCCCTGTTCGTGCAAGACGACCGAGCGTCTCTTGACATCTCGGTACCATGCTTTTTACTGACGAATCGTTGCAATGATAATTGATGGCTCACCCATTAACACAATGGTAGTTGGCGTGGCGGTCTTTTCAGTGACCCGAAAAAGTAGAGTAATGATCGAGAATATGCAAATGTCGACGCCTGAGCCGGTAAAAGCAGTGAAAATGCCTGGAATGCATTCACTAATTTCTAATTGAGAGGGTTGCCTTTCAACTACACGGTGGAAAGATCAGCATACCTCCCACAAACGCGGTACAGGCCAATACAAACGCTTTCCACGGCTTGAAATCCGGAATCACAGAGTAGGTTTTACGTTTTTTCTCAGCGTTAAGCAAGTAGAGAGCAATAGCGAATGATGACCATATCGAGACGAACAGCATTTTCTTTTGTGGTCCGGTGAAGAACGGATCAACCTGGCAACAAGTTTAATGATGAAGAATATCCTTGGAGAAGAATTATTGTAGGCGACAGTGACTAAAAGTGTTTGCTGAAACGGTTTTCTTGCGTTGCATTTTTCTCACTCAATCAGTTCTCCTCAAACCTTTCAGCCCGAGGAGAATCAGAGCCTTGAGCTCAGACAAATTCTTTCTTCCATAATTACCCCATTGGCTTTGAAAAAGTGCATATAAAAGCTATCTCTCACTTGAGCCACGGGACCTGCAATTACAATGCCTTTTTTGCAGCCATAGATACACACACATCATTTACACATATCTCACAATTTCATTCCAAATTACCCTCCCTTTCAAAAAAAAAACGAGAAGAGCATCGGGTGCAGACCATACACCACAATTGACGACGGCCTCCAAGTCAAGCTGGTTAGTGATTCACAGGAGTAGTAGTAGTGGATTCACACTAGTAGTGGAGTGGTTTATGGTGATAGCTGATTTTTGTTAAATGATAGTTGTAATTACTGACAACTGATAGAATACTAACTGCAGCAGGCTAATCATCTTCTCGTTTCTGAAACGACAACTTTATGCAAGAAGCCCAAAGCATTTAAAGGCACGACCCAGGCATGAGTCGAGGGAACAACTTCCTTCGGTCTAGGGTAGTGCTCTCCAGGACAATCACAGATATGGCACTCTCGTGCAAGGATTTTGCCCGACAAGGACACTAGGGCCTTGCCAAGCCGGCTGCAGCAGCTGCACTTCGCCGCCCGCAGGTAGGCTGTTGTCTGGAGTCTCTCATCTGTTGCGCTTTCCGCCCCATAACTTCCTCTCTGTGGTCAGCTCTTATGGCCTTAGCACAGCCCTATTACGAATGTTGGCAAGCACTTAATTGGAGCGATTTTGACATTTTTTCCTTTACTGCCGACGCATTTCGCACCAGAACTTTCGTATTTGTGTGCAAAAATCACACTAGTCTGATCCAGAGCTACACCCTTGAACCACGTGTCACCCAATTGCCCGCAAAGTAAAGCGTTGTTTGGGAATCCTCGAAAAGGCTTACCTACCACGAGTGATCCGAAAACAAATCCCGGCACCGAACCCATCATACCGAAGACGACGGCTCGTTTTTCGATCTGTACACCCATAAATATGATTACAAATAGCGCACATGTCATCCCTATAAACAGGAAATTTCGAAGAAAACTGAGCTCCTTGCTTCCTTTTCAATCAAACATTTATCTGAACACATTTAATCATTTTATTGATTATGTATTAACAAAGGGAGTCTCTCAGGACATGGAGCCTTTTTTAAATGGTTTTCTGAATGTTGTAGAGGCTGTGAGGAACACAGAACCATGGTCCATTTTTCCTGAACGCCCCCAGGAATGTCAAAACAGCGGGGAAGAAATGGTCCAAAGTTCGATCCTCCGTGATGACAAATTTTTGCAATTTATGTTGGCGCCTCCAAATTGCCGCAAAACACGACAATGACATCTATTCTCGACGATGGCGCCATTTGGCGGCAATCTGGGGGCGCCAAACTATATTGCAAAAATTAGTCATCACCGGGGATCGAACTCTGGACCATTTCTTCACCACTGTTTTGACATTCCTGGAGGCGTTCAGGAAAAATGGATCATGGTTCTGTGTTCCTCGCATGAGCCCCTACAACATGCAGAAAACCATTTCGAAAAAAACGCTCCATGTCCTGAAAGACCTCTCCTTGTAAGAGCTGTTGAAGAGCCAGGATTTATTCACCTCTCGTACTTTATAATCTGAGAGTTTCGACAATTTCAACTGGAATGTAACAACAGTCAAGCTACTCAAATTCAATGGATAAACATCAGTTGGGCGTCTGAAATTTGCTTTAATTTTGTCTCGTAAAATTTCAGAACTACATATTTGACCGTGTATTTGATCTGAACGCTGAGCTGAGGGGTCAGCTTAGGTGGATTAAACTTGCCATTTCTATAATGCCAAGAGATCATATCGCCAGTTGAAGGCACAACCCAGGCAGAGGTCGTGTGAATGTGAACGCTTCTCTTCGGTCTGTAGTATAGACCCCTAGAGGACAATCACAAATGTGGCGTTCCCGTGCACGGAAACCAACCGACAAGAGCGCTTGGGCCTTGCAAAGTAAGCTGCTGAAGCTGCAGATTTTTCTCTTATCAGGCTGTTGTCTGGCGCTCTCTCATCTGTAGCGCTCTCTCGCCTCATACTCTCCTCTCCGCGCTTAGTCTCTCATTCCCTTAGCACAGCCGATTAGGAAGGTGAGTGAGCCCTTAACCTAAGCGTTTTCGACGGATTCTTTTCCTTTTTTCTTTACTGCCGGCCCATTTCGCACCAATACATTCGCATTCGTGTGCAAGAGCCACACCAATGCGGCTTCTGCCTACTTGTGCCCACGTCGCCCTCGAAAGAAAAAAAGAAATGCCACAGAGTTACAATAGATTATCCTTTAGCAATTACACAACTCTGACCTTTTCTCTCCTCGAATATACCTCTTTTTTAAATCTTCTTGAATCTTTAATTCTTTAAATCTTGGTAATTTCTTGAGGTAGCAGTCTGCCTGATTTCCTTGTGAAAAATACCTATGTATTCAAAAATTTTACTGTTTCAAGGAATTTCCAGCAAAATTTCAGTTTTTTCAACATTATCGCTTACCAATTGCTTGAACTATCAATGAGAAATCTCTGGCCACATTTGGAGCGAGTTTAAGACCAAGCGTCATCACTGGAAACGCAACTGCTCCACCGCCTTCCGATGTCATGCCTATAAAAAGTTCGCTAAGGAGGCCACGTCTGTCTTGGCGCGACGCCAGTGCGCGCCGTCTTAGAGGGCAAGTGTGTGTGGGTTCGAATTCCCGGAATGATTAATGGACTGCGGGCTACTCTCCCCTGTACCATAGGATAATCCGGAGAAATCGGAGAGCCGGCAATACATGATGGTCGCTTTACAGGCAATCATCGCAGAACTGGTTCGTACAATTTTTCAGTACTGTGTGGAGATATTATGTACGTCGAAACTTAGAAAAAACAAACAAGTTTCGGAATTTTTGTGGTTCGACTGCGCTGTGATGCGCCATGCTTGCGTCCTTACATGGAAATCTAGATAAAGGATCGAAACTGAGCAAAAAACAAAAGGGAGAGGACACAAAATTGTGGTAGGACTCAATGAAAACATCTTCACGAGTTCACATGAAACCGTGTCGGTTCCGTGTGGAGCGGATGGCGGAGGGATGTAGCCCTGCCCTCAATTAGATCCTTTTTCCCATCAGTAGAACTTAATGAAAAAGCATGGATTAATTTTAAGTGTTTTGTAAGGCGTTATTGATAGAATCACTTTTCAAAAGAAGGAGAGGCTGACCAGCAACGGTTGATCCGAGCAACATGATAGCCGGAAGTTCCCAATGAGTACGGTAGAGTTCGAGCCATGAATAGCGGATTGCCGTCAACCACCAAAATGTCTAATCCATCAATTGGCTGAGAATCAAAACATACATAATAGCGGCAACAGTAATAGTCACAATACTAGCATAGTAATTAACATGTTGTTCTTCTGCCAGCGGGGTTATTAGGTGGATACTTTAATGATGGCCTGACGTTTCGAAGGGATCGTCTTCCTTAAAGGCCTAAACGTGGCTCAAGGCATGAGATACGTCTTTTAAAGCGCCAAACGAGTTTACCAGGTAGTAAAAAAAAGTAATAAGAATAGAAATTAGTTTTTTTTGACTTGTTTTTAATTGTGAAATGCTGGTTGTAGCCGCAGTCCATCTTGGAAATTGAGAACAAACCTTCGCCCCAGCGGGGACTGCGAACACCGTACCTCTTTGCCGTCGGAAATGTGTGCAGTTTTTTCCGCGTCTGGCGGAGTTTTGTTCACAACGCACATCTGTGAACAATGATAGTGTAATATAACATAATATAGAATAATAATAAAATACCTCTGCGTTACCCATTTTAGGATGCGCCACGCCTTCTATTTTGATGCAAAATAGTAGGGTCATTAGATGATTGACCCAGGCCAGATTCGATCCACGATTTGATCTAAGGAGCTTGGGAACTGTCAGTACTTGCACCCAGGGTTCAATCGCCTACGTTTCCCGATAAAAGGGTCGTATCAGTTGAGCTTGGAGGGTCGTACCCTCTCGGTGGCCGACAGTGGGATTCTTGGTAATATCGGATAATAGCCAGCACGTTACGTTTTCGTAAGATGACTGATACTAGAGCATCTATAAACCACGCTTCCCTCTAAATGAGCTTTCAAATGAATCAGCGAATTAGAAGGGCGCCCGAGGCGTGGCGCGCACCAAGGCAAGGGATGTAGTGCAAGCGCATGCTCGAAGCTTTCTAGCACATCCTAATTAAACATAAAATTGGTCTTCCAAGAAGTTACGGGCAGTGAAACCTAAGAAAACTCGCGTTTTCGAGAAAATGGCTTGAAGAATACCCCTCAAATAAAAAGTAACAACGGGACTAATTTTTGAACTGCTGATCTTTCAGGAACGCTTGGGTGCTCGTTAGAAAGCTTGAATCCTGTAGTTTATTATACGTGTTCAGCTTCCCAAATGAATGACTTTGAAGGAAGTTATGATCGTTTGAAGGTCAAAAAAGTCGCTTTGCACAGAAAAAAGTAACAACGTACTAAATTTTTATTAAATTAACTTTCGAAGAATTTTTACCCATGGTTGGAGAGAGAATAATTTGAATTTTCCAAATCAAATCACTTCGGCGCAGAAGCTCGAATATGAAGGAAGTTATAGCCCTAGAAAGAGGAGTGTAAAAATTGTGTTTCAATTTTATTTTTTGCCTAATAACTTATTCATTCCGAAGTGTTTGAGAACAAATGAGCACTCGTTAGGAAGGAGGAGCCACATCGATCCAAAATCCACCTGAATCTTCCGAACTACCTGAAATGTAAAAAAAAAAACTCCTCGAATTTTCACACTCCCCGTTCGACGCCTCTTCACCGTGAGCAAATGTACTCCACCGTCAGGAGGCCAAAGGGACTTAGTAGCAATAAATATTATGGTAAACTGTCTCTACACAAGTGTTACATACAAGGGGGGGGTCGTATCAAATCACCCATGAAGGGGGGGGGTCGTAAAAAATTTCCGAAGAGTAACAACGATAGGGTTGACCCTGCTCACACTCGCCTCACCACCCTGGCCCAGATAAAAAGTTATTTTTAGAAACTGAGATGATTCTTTTGAGTAAATAAGGTGGAGATCAAAAAAGTCGTTTAATCTCAATTAGCAAGCGCCCTAACAATTGATAAAAACCGAACTATTTGAGTGGTTGCGAATGGAGTAAAGTCGTTCTGATCACTTCTATTGCCTTCGAGCGGCAATCACGGAAGAGTGTGGTCCCACCTTGGAGCACCATTCTCCGCGGGGATTTCTACAGTACTGCACCTTTTACCACCTCTACTTGCATTATCAGTTTGTAATTATCTACCTTTGAGCTACCAACAAATAAGATCTCTTTCTTGAATTCGCCACCTCGAAAGGTTGAAACTGCTAGTCAGTAACGAGGGGGCGGGCCAAAGCGTTCAATTATAAATTATTTCTTTAATCACTGAAAGAAAAATAAGATTTGTTCAGAAAATTCGGAATTACCCTACCTGCATTACTACTAGAGGAATCAAAACAGCTACATATTTCCTGTATTTGATCAAGGCTACGTCAAAAAAGTCGGCATCCTTCGGTAACTCCTGCGGTACCGAGCTCTCGTCCAAGTGTTGACCTGTGCGAGGGCGACATTCACTTTAGATATCAAAATCGAATCTTTTCAGTACCACAACCTCTAAAGTAATAACTAAAAACACAGCCAAAACCGTAAACCTAAGCACTTACTTACCTCTAAGAAGTACTTTCGAAAGAAGTCCCTCATTGCAGATGGTTTCTCCCTCATTCTCATAGCCTAAGTGGTTACTGTCAATCAAGCAGCTGTAGATGAGAGCGGAGGCAAAACTAAGTGGTTTGGGATCAGTTCTGGGGTCAAACAAATTAAGGTGACACCCCGAACTTTGGCGTCACAGCCTTTCCGTTCACTGTCCTGTCACCGCCCATATTTACAGTTCTACGTGTTAAGACAAATCGACACGGGCGATTGAATCGACTATCATTCAAACGCGTTCTTTCGTCTCAAAGATCTCTTTTGAAAGGGCGAAGAGATTTTTGGAAGTATGAAAAGAACCAGTTGGAGATGAAAGGAGAGTAGTTTAAGAAGATTAAAAATGAATCTGTGGACATTTGGAAATAAACAGGAATTCAGTAAAAGGACCCGTGGCGCAAAAGAGTTTTTCAGATAAATTGAATGCACTTTGGCTTGTACTTCTTTTCAGAAGACAAAACTGGTTGAGAAGACTGAACAGTAATACATATGTGAGCTCAGCTTGGCTTGGTGGCTGATCCCCGAGGACAGCTTGATAGAGGAGAAGGGATAAATCATTTGCCGTTGATCAATACTCTGCTGGAATCGGACCGAATTCTACTCCCATTTGTGCATGCCGCAGGGCGTTTGACATGGTACCCCCCAGGAGCCTCAGCGGACCAAGAAAGCGGCTAGCGGAGTAGCGCGCGTACTGTAGGGATTTCGCGTCAAGTTGAAATAGAGTGTCCACTTGCACGTCCTACATTGCACACCACGCTGCAACTCGTCCGCCGACTCTGCCTTCTTGCCGCGCGTGATGGGCCTCCCTGGGGGGTACACGTTTGAATGCAATTGGGCTATAAAATGACTCGCGGGGGCCAGCCGATGTATAAGTCAGTGTTGTTGTTTTATCCTTCCCAGACAAGTCTGGTACCAATTAGCCGACCCCGGAGGGATGGAAGGCATGGTTGGCCCGGGCAACCGCACGGCTTTAATTCCCCTGACCTGTGACCGCGCATGGTAAGCGTACCACTTGCCACTACACAATTTCGCCCAGGGAGTTATACGGCGAAATATTCCTTAGATGTCCCCCCATAAGCAGAATCAGGCCCACCTTCGCTGCCTTCACCGTCTCCAGAATATGACGTCATCTGTCATCACCGTCGAGCTCAAGGAGGCCTACCATAATCGCTCCATTCTGAAGCTGCTACATAATTTCTTCAATCGGATAACTGGTGAATGGCTTCTTAGGGACACTAGCTCTGACTATGCAAGATGGCTTTTGACCAGCGTTTCAGAAAGTTTTTCGACAACCCCGTTGCCGCCCCTCAGCCTTGATTCCGCTGCACGAAAACCCTTTCCTTTTTCTGCTGCTGTGCTTATCGGAATTGGGAACTTTATGAAAGCTTAAAGGAATCCTGCACGGAAAAATCATGATTCTATTTCAGCCATAAATCACTGGCTTGAGACTCATTATCCACGATAAGAATGAAAAGAACTGAAGTATTGCTTTCGTTTTGTAAAAAATTCGAAAAATCGAAAGGGCTGCTACGCGTTCAGCCGCCAAAGGCCAACTTCTTTCCATGCCTCGCCTTGGCTCCGCCCGAATTACCTTCGATGTCCATAGAGTGTAGTTTTTGTACGTTTGTTTCTCTTCGGAAACCGAATCTTCATGCGTGAAACTTTGTGTGCTGTTTCCAGTGATCACAACTGACACATTCATGTTAGAAAGAATGCAAGAATTTCCTTCAACATGGCTTTGGAAAATCGATATGCATAATATGCTCTCTGTGATGCTACTGATGCCATCTGGTGGTCGTGGATGTTGCAGCTAACGTCCTAAATGGTCATAGGTTTTCATAAATGCTCTGAATCTACATTTGATCACCGCTGGTCAAATTCCAAGTCTCCTATCGTCCGACTGAATGTACAAGTTGAAATAGAATGCGTGCCGCATTCCAAAAAGAGATTTTTCAGCGACAAATGCTTTATCTTTTTACCCTTTTATCATCTGACAGGTCACAGTCCTTACAAGCGATTCTTGCGTGCCGCTGCTACCTTCCACTGCTGTATGTATAATAGAAGTTTGCAGGAGCGAGCAACAGAAATCCACCAACCGTCACAGTTCAGCCGGCTCGTTAAGCTGAGGACCCATTCACTTCTGACTTTTCAGTTGAACCAAACCTGGGAACTGGAGATTTCCTTTCTCCGATATATTGCGCAATCAGGGAAGGATTCCTCTTTGATCATCCCTCTGGCAATATGGGACTCGCTTTCGTCACAGTACAGGATCTCTCTGGCTTCGGCAGGATCGGGTTCGTCCTCAGTGATCTAAGCAGTAAAGAATTAGTGTCAGATCCTCATTCTAGATGTTACCGTTCACTGCAGATCCGCTGGAGGGGAGCACGGGGCGGGGGCAAGAGTTTAGGAGGCAGAAAGATCCACTCGTTATCCCGCAGATGTCATTGTAGTTCGAATAGCGCTAAGGCCGTCCTGCTTTTTGTACTCCATGGCTGACGAAGTTCTACCAAACCATACTACTAGTTATGATTCGGAATATTAATCGAGTTTCGGCTGGAGAGCGCCACTGCGATGAACATATGCGTTCGCAGTCAGTATTATCCGGAGAGATCGTATGCTTGGAACATCCAGTAGTTTCTGGCGGTCTTCGCTTTTAGTAATTTGCACCCAGTTCCGACAAAAATGATCAAGCTCTGTTTGGTATGCGCCATGCATTCCACTTCATTCAATAAAATTCTATCGAAAATCTGCAAGCCAGGCAAAGGAGAGCAGTGACTCTTCACAAACAGGTCCTGCAGCGATCAAGCAGTCCCGCAGGCGAGCATTAGTGGAAGTCCTTCGAAATTCAGTGGTGGAAAAATTGGGCAGTATGATGGAAAGGAAGTTTCAATTAGAAGAATGTTCTCTAGGTCACAAACAACGAGCGCGGGATTACATGACCAAGCAGGGTCAAGGCTAGATGTGAGCACAGTAAAACGAGCAGGTTATAATCTGATGCTGATAAAATGCTATCTGGAGTTGATGCCAAATGGATTAGGCAGTCTTTTGATGGGGCAAGTAGAAAAGGAAGCCCTATAATTCATAAGTGAGGAGTCTGAAGTGGCTATCCATCATTGGCAGCAAAGGTCATGAAGTAATTCTGCACGCTAAACAGGATCATCCACAACGGCTGGAAAAGTTTTTTCCGAAGGTTACTGAAAAGAAGAAAAGATGGATTGTATCCACAGTTCACCTTTCGTAACATATTGATTCAATCATGATGTGGTTTGCGCTCGAATGGAAGGCAAAGGACAAGAAGCGTTATAAATTATGACTTATTATCGGATATCATTAATTAGTAAAAAAAACAGCATCAAGAAAGAAATTGAACAAGTCACCGATAAGTAAAAAACTCGAAATTAAATGGGTAGCAAGGGTTGAAGCTGCGTGGGAGTGGAAAGTCGGCGAAGAAGGGCAGTGGCCGCCACACTGCAAGCTCCTGCGGAAGCGACGACGTAGAACTCCGGATACCGACTTAGTAGGTCCGCCAACTTGCCGAGATCCAACTCTCCGCATCGCAGGCCCAAGGGGGGATTATTTCCAAAACAACATGAAGAAATGAGACGTAAAATTGAACAAACAGATAAAATATAAAAATCTGCAAATCAATACAAATTTCGGTAAATTAGCTATAACCGAATGAATCGCTTCTCTGTCTCTTGAATTTAAATTTGTTTAGTTATGTCCTGCTATGTTATGCCCTGATAACCCATAATGTTATGCGCCATGCATTCCACCTCCACTGATAATATCAGTGGCCATGTAGATGCGATTTGACCTGATTCCGCGCGGGTGACTCAATGCGTCAGTGTTCTCAACCTCCTGGACAAGTTTGGCGACAGATGTCTCATCTTAGAAGATACAGGAAGGCTTGCCCAGACTTTACCCGAAGGAGTTGACCTCGACACCATGCGCATGTGAGCGCCATCCCTTGCCACTACACCATCTGACTTTTGTTTTTATCTGATCATCAGACATTTCGAACTAATTAAAAAGCGAATGCTCCTAAACGGAATCCTTCATGTGAATAGGTACATAGCTGTGTAGGTGTATGAATATCAGGGATGCGCCATGCATACACATTCTTCCAAACTTGTAGGGGATACATTGTTACTGAACTTCTGAACTTTTCAGGAAATTTGAAAAGCTTCTCCAGCTAAGACTACCTTCATCCACAGGCACTCCTGCACCATAGAAGGCAACGTACGAGATCGAGCTGATTTAGTATTGCGCTTGCAAATGACAATAAAGATGTGAAGCGCAACGCCAGCAGCGGAAAAAACGGAAAGAAACCGTCGACTAGTCGGAATTGAGACCTTCTCTACAGTAGCAGCAGAGCAGAAATAGCCCTGATTTCCGGGTGGGCTCAGTGTGGGGGGGGGGCCAATGCTGCATCCTATGCTCTTACGCCTCGGCCTTGTCAAATCATCCCGAAAGTTGTGTCTCTGCTTTCCGCTTTCGTACCGGTACACTTCTGTGGGAAAAGGCCTAATTTTGACCGGAAAGCCCAGCCCTTGCCTTTGAACTCAAGAAATCGGCTGTTTTTAGGTACATGTTCGGCTACAGGTTTCATGCGACGTGCTGAGTGTCGATTCGATATATGAATGGCTCATAAAGCGGAAGTTCGAAAGAAGTTCGTCGAACTATTGCCCAAAATAATTCAGGCAAATTAGAAGAGGAAGTGGGTGCCAAGAAGCCCAGCGAGGCTACCTACACGAAGCGAATTGCCCTGCAAGCGAACTAAGTCAAAAATGGCTAGCACCGCAAGTGGACATCGAATATAGCTCGAGCGCTCTCACTGCGTAATGCGTGCTATTTATACTAAACAACCTCCTACCACTCGCTAGCAATTTGTTAACACATTGCGTACCGCGTGCGCCACCATGTGGCGCACGATTACGCACGAAAGAGCATAAATTTAGTTGATTTGTTTGGAAAATTTTCAATGTTTCCAAACTGTTTGCACTCATTTTCAGAGCCGGGAA